CTCAACTTTGTTCACTTGGCCAGAGTGATGTCTTTCAGATTTGTCCACCGTAAAGTGACTTTTTTATTTAAGAAAATAAGAAAGTTTTGGCCAGGAGCAGTAGCTCATGCCTCTAATCCTAACACTTTGAGAGTCTGAGGTAGGAGGATTACTTGAGGCCAGGAGTTTGACACCAGCCTGAGCAACAGCAAGACCTCGTCCCTAAAATAAAAATATTAACCAGGTGTAATGGCATGCTCCCGTAGTCCCAGCTACTCAGGAGACTAAGGCAGAAGAATCACTCGAACCCAGGAGTCTGAGGTTGCAATGGGCTATGATGACGCCACTGCACTCTAGCCCTGGTGATAAGACCCTGTCTCAAAACAAAAAATAATACTAATAAAGTTTCTTATGGGGAGATATCTTATTAGTGGGCATTCTCCTGTAAAGATGAGCTTCTACCTCTCCCCATTTATTCATTCATTTGTTCAACTATATTCTATCACTATGGACTCAGAATTGAGTCTTGATGAGTTAAATGGCACATAGATTAACAATTATTTTTTCCAACTTTATTCAAGTGCATTTTACATATCATGGCATTTACCCATTTCATGTGTACAATTTATTGAACTTCAGTAATTTTGTGGAGTAGCCATCACCATAATTCAATTTGGATAATTTTGTCTCCTAATTGGGCTCCTTGTGCGCATTTACAATTCTCATTCTCACTCCAAACCCCATCAACAAGTAATGTACTTTCTCTCTTTGTTCTGGGCATTTCATATAAGTGGAATCATACCATCTGTGGTGTTTTTTGTTACCGACTTCCTTCATTTCACGTTACCAGTCTTCATGCATGTTGTAGCATGACTCAGTCCTTCTTCCTTTTAATAGTTGAATAACATTCCATTGTATGGATGTGCCACAATTCGTCTACCTGTATACCCATAGGAAAATTATTTGGGTTGTTTGCAGTTTGGGTCATTGTGAATAATGCTGCTGGGAGCGCTCGTGTGCTAATGCACAATACACATCCATGTTGGTGGGCAGCATCCTTGGCCACCCTTTCATGTCTCTTTTTCTGCCTTCTGTGTTACTTTCCAGGCATGATTCTGCCTTCCCAGGAACTGTATAACTCAGGACTCTGCAAATTCCCCAAAGTAGGAGGAAAAATGTCCACATTCAAGGTGAGTAAGGTTTGCTTCTCTTGTTAAAGTTCCATCTCACTACTTTAGATTGTAGTTTGTGCCTTGAGTGTACAGAGGAACCACTGCATAGCTGTCCCACAAAGGTCACCATAAGTTTGTTAGTTTGCCACATATTAAAAGTGGTAACACCCGGGGTTCAAATTTGAAAGAGGAAGATAATGGACATTATCAAGTACAGTTGGGACTTCATTGCTATATGTTGGCAATTGGCAAGATTCATTAAATCTTAATTCGTTTTGGCCGAAACGCAGCATTTAGAATCCTAGAGGGTTACTCACAAGTAGGCTCAGTGAGTACTTAAAGTAGAAGTACAGGACTTCTCTTTCATTGTTTCACTTTTGGTGGAGCTCAGGAAAATCAGTGTGTGTCATTGTCAGGATACAGATAGAATGAATGGGAAATCTACACATTGACCTATGTCAGTGTCTTTCAACATCCAGAACACCTTCACACCCATCCCTTCTGCCTGTGCAGTGCCTCCTCTCTCCCAGCAATCATTGGTCATAAGATTGAGATCAGTATGTTGGATGTTGTAGGAGGCAGTGACATTTGAGGACGTGGCTGTGGTCTTCACCCAGGAGGAGCTGAGTCTCCTGGAACCTGGCCAGAGGAAGTTGTACCGAGATGTGATGCTGGAGAACTTCAGGAACCTGCTGTCAGTGGGTGAGGAAAAATAGTCACTCTGTGTAATGGAACATCAGGTCTCAGGACTGACTTTTTATCCTAGGATGTTTAAGTTTGAGTATTCAGTGGGAATTTAAATTTCTAGTAAATTTTAGCTGGTTTTTACTTAGAATGTGTTGGGATTAAGCATGTATTTTGCATGTTCACAGAGCATCAGCCATTCCTACAAGATACATTCCACGTCCTAAGGGAAGAAAAGTTTTGGATGATGAAGACAGCAACCCATAGAGAAGGGAATTCAGGTAAGAACCAAGCAACTGTGTGTCATTGTACGTGACTCTTCTATCTGTTTACTTCTGTCCATTCTCATTTCCCTTGTCCTGGTCTAAGTTGCCTGACCTCTTTCCTGGCTTATAACAACTGCCCTCCCAGCTGATTGCCTTTCTCCCACCCTCCCATCTGTTCCCTAGGCAGTATGCTTGGGGCAGTGGGGGCCATGGTGCCAGGCGGCTTTTCAGTGGTGTGTACAGGTGTAGGCTTTGGAAGAGAGGACAGAGTTATCCCTAGGCCCCCAAATAGTGTGCTATACCAGTGGCAGACAGCCCGGGTTTTTGTCAGATCTCTCGTTTTTGCATGAGGCAACATATGGCACTGGACAATCCCTAGGCCCCTGGGTGGCATGCTTGGGCACTGGGAGAGGTGGACTGAGCGAAGCAGGCTTGTCCTAAGGCCCACATGGGCATAGGCTGTGGTGGGTGGTGCAGAACATTCCCCAGGCCCCAAACCTCTAGGGAGCATCATCCATTGATGGCAGAGGCGATAGCAGCAGAACACAGGAAACTCCTTCCTCAGGGCACGTACAAGTGTGCTGCAGCCCTGCTGCTGGCGGGCACGGTTGCTGTTAGTTGGCAGCTGCCCCAGGCAGGCAGCTTTCAAGATCTGGTGAGTACATACTCTGGCTCCCTTTGTATGGGGGGGGGCAGCCTTCCCGGTGTGCTCTACCCTCCCACCCCGTTCCCCAGAGTGTAGGACACACACTGTATGGCCTAGAGGGCTGGGAACTTGCCATACTGTTGGGTCCAACTGGTGTTGCTCTATTGCAACCCTCTGGGTAATCGTGGGGTGATGTCAGTGGGGCTCCAGGGATATGGAGATACAGGGGCTGTTGGATCCCAGGGCAAGACGCAGTCTGGTGGGGGTGGGGCTCTCAAGATAGTGCCATCATGCAGCTGCTTGAATCTCTGGAATTGTGTGGGACCCGGTGTCAGCTCACTCTCTGGAACAGTGCCCTTTGCCGGGCCCCCGGGCATTTCCTTTTCTTGGCTTCGGGGTTTTGGGTTTGGGGTTTTTCCCTTGTTTGGGTTTGTGGGGTTCCTTGTTGGGATTTTAACCTCTTGGGGACTTTTTACTTAACCTTCTCTAGCGGTGGGGAACCTCTCTGGGCTGTCAGCCAATGATAGCCAGGACGGCTGCCTTGCTTCGCTCTCCTTCCATGCCTCGTGTGTTTCTTGTCACCTCTCTGCTGAATTCCAGTGATCTCTCTTAGATGCTATTCGATGTGTTATTATCTACTCACTGTTTTGGCTCTTCTTTGTGGAGCCAAGTGCTGGGTTTCTTTAATCAGCCGTCTTGAAGCCCTCCTACCCTAAAAGCTCCTTCTGATTCAGATTTTATGAGTTACATAATTTACCATGCAAGGTTTTATACTAGGAAATAAGTGAAATAGTAACAGGTTAACTGTATGTATCATATTATTAATTCTTTAAATAAAGTCTTTTGTTTCTGCCACATATTTCAAATATCAGACTTGGTATGGTTCTAAATTGGTCTCATGCAAACCACAGAACATGTCGCACTTGGAAAACACAAACTGCACATTCTCTGTATTCGTTAAAGTTTCATGCCATGTCCTAAATGCGAAATCCTGATAACACCAAACAGAGGGTTCATTTATCTACTCTTTTATTAATAATTTTGTGTCTTTATAGTAGGCAAGGTCCAAACTGAGATGGAGACTGTTCCAGAAACAGGACCACATGAAGAGTTGTCCTGCCAGCAGATCTGGGAACAAATTGCAACTGACTTAACCAGGTCTCAAGACTCCATGATAAATAGCTGTCAGTTCTCCAAACAAGGTGATGTCCCCTACCAGACTGAGGCAGGACTTATTCACATACAACAGAAAACTTGCCAGCATAAAGAAAGTAAACAATTCTTCAGTGATGTCTTTGTCTTTGATCTTCAGCAGCAATTACACTCAAGAGAGAAGTCTCATACATGTGATGAGTGTGGAAAGAGTTTCTGTTACAGATCAGCTCTTCGTATTCATCAGAGAGTCCACGTGGGAGAGAAACTCT